CAAATGCCCATCAACTGGAGACTGGATAAAGAAAATGTGGTTTTTTAATAAAATGGAGTACTACTCAGCCATAAAAAATGAGACATTAGAGACATATATAGCTAAGTGGATGCACATTGAGGCAATACTCTTGAGTGAAATAAACAGGACACACATGTGTAAATACCGAATAATTTCTCTGGTGTGAGAAACTGAAAGTGTAAATAAGGACTAAATGTATAATAGGTAATGTGAAATAGGAGGAACTAGATTTTTAAAGCATGGATTCTATGCATGTCCAAGCTTGCAACCCTGCAGGAATATTTACTCTTGGTGTCTTTGCAAAGGTCATGACATGACAGCAGTTTGTTATGTGGTCTCATACTAAGCACAGTGTTTCATGTGAGTTCTGTAGTATTATGGGCAATGTACAGGCCCTGGAGTAAAGTGATCTGGATTAAAATCCAACCTCTGCCACTTATTAGCTATATGACCTTGTGTGAAGGGATTCTGAAAATTCTGAGCCTGAGTTTATTCATTGCAAAATGTGTATATTAATATATACATCAGGGGTTGTTTGGAGGACTAATTGAAAAAAATGTGTGTCTTAGACCATTCAAGCTACTATAACAAAAACACCATAAAGTGGGTGGGTTTAAGGACGCTTATTTTTCACAGTTCTGAAGGTTGTGAAAAGTAGAATATCAAGGTAATAGAGCATTTGGTATTTGGCAAGGGCCTGCCTCTTGACTCATAGATGGTGCTCTTCTCTCTGTGTCTTCACACGGCTGAGGAGGCAAAAGCCCTCTGGGATTCCTTTAATAACCTCATTTATGAAAGCTCTGTTGTTGTAGTATAATCATTTCTCACAGATCCTACCTGCCAAAACCATCACACTGGGGATTAGGTTTCAACAAATTATTTCTGAGAGGACACAAGTACTTAGCTTATATCAATATGTTTAAAATATTTTATAAACTTTACCTCCTTAATGAAGGATTTTCACGGTAGGACATCCTAATATAATATAACATATAAACAGAAACACATGAATAAGCAAAAACCTACACACCATCACTTACTAATGTCTTAGACAAAAATAATACAAACAAATGTCAGTGAGATACTTTTTTAAAAATATAACACTTTGCTATGAAGTATTAGGGTTGGAGCTAAGACATAGTTAGGGTTTTACAACTCTTTCCCTTCTAGGCAGTAATGAGGGAAATGATAAAACAGTTTCTATTCAGCACACGGGACATTTTTTATTTTATTTTATATTTTTAGAAGGAAGGTGGATTTTGCCTAAGTGCTAAAGAACATCCTTTAAAAAAAAGATTTGATTTTGTAAAAATAAGGTTATTAAAATTTGTAGATGCTGCTGTGTACATCCACCAGTTGTGACTTGATTGTAACAGTATGAACTTCTCTACAAGTATAACATCTCATTCTTGAATTATGGTAAAATTCTTGGGGACCATCAATATTCATTTGGTCAGAATAAATAATAGAGAAAAATTACTAGACATGTTCTAATTAGTCATCTAATTTCCTTTTTTGTAAGTCCTGGGGACTGAACCAGGGCCTCTCACAGGCTAGGCACACACTCTACTACTGAGCCACTCATAGAGCCCATAAATATTTTTCGGGAACTCATTCTGTACAAGAAGTTGCTAGGCTCTGGGGTGGGGAAAGAAAGAAAAGTGCTGGATGAAACTGTGCTGAGATGTATGAGTCACAGTCTAAATCTCAAAGAAACTCGTCCTGTAGTGGAGAGAAAGAGCACACAGGCCCTAGCACAAGATACAAAGAGTGGTTCATTTGGGAAACAAAATGTATGGCAGTTTAGAGAACTATGAGATCATTTTAATTTGGGAATCAGGAAACTGTTAATGATGGAGGAGGTATTTGAACTAGGCTTTGCAGCCTGCCTATCTTTGGGCAAATGAAGAAAGGAGGGACTCACAGTCCTGGTACAGGAGAAGTCAAAGCCAAGGCACAGGAATGAGTAAATGTAAGGAGCATGAAGAGGGAGAGAGGGAAATAGATCAAAGGAAAAGGGAATATATTAGATGTGATCAAAATAAACAGTGCATGTTTAACTTTTTAAAAAATTATTACAGTAAAAGACACATTGCCATTAACCGCCCTCAAAACACTCTTACTTGCTTTGAACACAGTTATTCCAACATTCTTGCCATTTTCTGAAGCAGTTCTGAAAGTCCTCTTTCATGACTGTGTATTTGAGATGTGATCAAAAATATGGTGAATGTGGCTGCAGCATGCCATGCATGAATGAGGCAGGCTCATGAAAACATGACTACGTGTCCTCATCTACCTTATTCACTGGATCTGGCACCCTGGGACTTCTGGCTCTTCCTCAAAGTCAAAATGACCATGCAAGGTAAATGCTTTGAATTAATTCAGGAGATTGAGGCAGCAACAACAGCATAACTAAAGAAAGAGGACTTTTAGAACTACTTCA